GTACCCTCTATCCCTATACTCTGAAGAATTTTGATCAAGAAAAGATGCTGTACTTTGTCAAATGCTTTTTCTGCATCTATTGAGAGGATCTTATGATTCTTGTTCTTTCTTTTGTTAATGTATCACGTTGATTGATTTGTTTGCAGTCCTTTTTATGGCTGAATAATAGTCCATTCTATGAATACTACATTTTGTTTATCCATTCATCCATTGATGGACATTTGGGTTGTTTCCACTTTGGGGCTATAATAAATAATGCTGCTGTGAATATCCATGTAGAAGTTTTTGATTGAACATATGTTTGCAGTTCTCTTGGGTATACATCCAAATAAGTAGAATTAGTCATATGTTAACTCTGTGTTTAACTTTTTATGGAACTACCAAACTCTTTTCCAACTGCTGTTTCCCACCAGCAATATATGAGAGTGCAGTTTCATCACATCTTCCATAATACTTGTTATTGCCCATCTTTTTTATTACAGCAGCCCTGGTAGGTGTAAAGTGAAGTCTCTTTGTGGTTTTCATTTGTGATTCATTAATGACTAATAACATTGGGCATCTTTTCATGTGCCAGTTGGCAGTTTGTATATCTTCTTTGGAGAAATGTCTATTCAAGTCCTTTGCTCATTTTTGAGTTATTTTTCTTTTCATCCTTGAGTTGTGTGAGTCCTTTACATCTTCTGTATATAACGTGCATATTCAGATATTTGATTTGCAAATATGTGCTGTCATTCTGTGGGTTGTCTTTTTAACTTTATAGTGTCCTTGAAACAAAAGTCTTTAATTTTGATCAATTCTAATTTATCTTTTCTACTTTTTCTTTGATTACTTGTGCTTTAGGTATCTTATCTAGGAAACCATTACATAATCTAAGGTCACAAAGATTTATACCTATCTTTTCTTCTAAGAGATTTGTAGTTTTAGCTCTTATATTTAGGTCTTTTTTCCATTTCTGAGTGTATATGGTATGAGGTAGGGGTCCATATTCGTTCTTTTGCATGTGGATATCCAGTTGTCTCAGCACTATTTGCTGAAAGACTGTTCTTTTCCCATTGAATTCTCTTGGCACCCCATTGAATTTTCTTGGCACTCTTTTTATAAATCAGTTGACTATAGGTGTATGGGTTCATTTCTGACCTCTCAGTTCTGTTCTACAGATCTATATGCCATCTTTATGCAAAGAACACACTATCTTAATTATCATAGCTTTGTTGTAAGTTTTGAAATTGGGAACTTTGAGTTCCTCCAGCTTTGTTTTTCTTTTTCAACATTGTTTTGTCTGTTCTGATCTCTTGCATTTCTGTATGAATTATAGGATCACCTTGCCTATTTCTGTGAAAATGGCAGCTGGAATTTTTATAGAGATTATATTGAATCTACAGATCATTTTGGAGAGCATTGTCCTCTTAACAATATTAAGTCTTCTTATCCATGTCTTTCCATTTATTTGTCTTTCCATTTATTTGTCTTCTTTAATTTCCTTCAAAGATGTCTTGTAGTTTTCATTGTACAAGTCTTACATCTTTTAAAAAAATTTATTCCTAGTATTTTATTATTTTTAATGCTATTTATTGTCAGGAACTGTTTTTTTTTTTTTTTCAAGATTTTATTTTTTTAGAGGAAACGGGGAGGGGCAGAGGGGGAGGGAGAGGGAGAGAATCTCCAGCAGACTCTGCACTGAACATGGAGTCCAATGCAGAGCTCAGTCCCACAACCCTGAGTTCATGACCTGAGCCAAAACCAAGAGTCAGACACTTAACCGACTGAGCCACCCAGACACCCCTATTGTCACTGGAACTGTTTTCTCAATTGGTGGTTGGGGGTGGATTGTTCAGTGCTATTTATAGAGATAAAGCTGACTTTTGTATATTGATCTTATATCCTGCTACCTTGCCGAACTTGTTTATTAGCCCTAATTTTTTGTGGCTTTGGCAAATAGCGATAGTGTTACTTCTTTTTATATAATTTCTTGTATTTCTTTTTCTTACCTAATTGCTGTAGCTAAAACCACCAACATAATGTTGAATGGAAGTAGTGAGAGTGAACACCCTTGTTTTGATCTTAGGGGTAAGCTTTCAATCTGTGAGCATTAAGTGTAATGTTAGCTATGGGTTTTGGTAAATGCCCTTTATTGGATGAGGAAGTTCCTTTCTATTCTTTGGTTGTTGATTTTGCCCCTGTTGGAGGGATATTAGATTTTGTCAGTTGCTGTTTCAGTGCTTAATTAATATGGTAGATTCCATTGATTGTTTTTTATGTTGAACCAACCTTGCATTCTTGGAATAAATCCTACCAGGTCTTGGTGTTTAATCTCTTTTATATGCTACAGGATTTGATTTGCTAGTATTTTCTTGAGGATTTTATTTAAGTATTTATATTCATAGAGGATATTTGTCATTTTCTTTTCTTGTGATATCTTTGATTGTGAAATCATGGTAACACTGACCTTACAGAATGTGGGGAATAACACTTTGGAAGAGCTCAGCCTCATTCTGATCTCTCTGGTGGCTGCCAGGTTATCGGTTTCCACCAAAAAATGGTGGCTGCTATTTTTCAAGGCTACTTAGAGTTGTAGAGTAGGGATTGAGACTACAGCAAGTTAAGCCATAAAGCCCACTGTTGTGAGAGTCAGTCTTTTTTCTTGAATAAATACCCCCCAGATTGCTACAGGCCTTGGATTAATTTCCATAACTCTAAAAATTTAGATTCGGGTAATTTATGCCCATTTTCTTGTTGCTTTTATGGAGGACAGAATTTTTATTTATTTATTTTTTTTATTAACATAATGTATTATTTGTTTTGGGGGTACAGGTCTGTGATTCATCAGTCTTACACAATTCAC